ACGACAACGACGCCCGCCGCGCGCTGTGGCCCCTCGACACGCCGTGCGCCGTCGTCGAACGCGCCAGCTGTCCCGATCAGCGCGTCATCCGCACCACCCTGCGGCATGTCGTGGAGGCGGTCGACGCCGAGGGCAGCCGGCCGCCGGGCCTGCTGGTCGTGGGCGCTGCGTGCGAGGCGCTGTTTGAGAGGGAAAAGGGCCGCGCGTGGGTTGTGGAGGAGGGATTCGGGGGCTTCGATTCGGGGCCCGACGACAACTGGATGGCTGCTTTGCAGGGCGCCATGGGTGGCGATGCTTGAAATTGCCGGTTTGGCGGGTTTCCATTTCATGAGCGTGCGTTGGACAGAGGGACACACTGGCTGGAATAATTGGACCATTTTCATCGAGACACCCGAATTGAATGGCGGGTTAGGTACGTCGTTCACACAGCATTGCTTGGAGTTGGGCATATCGTGGGTTATTCCACCTTTTGTTTGTAGAGAGTACATCCATCAACATGTTTTCCAAATACGTCGCGAGACTGCAGGCCAAAACGTGAGACCATCATTTCTATTTCGAATGAAAAAAAATCCAAACGGGCCTACCGCCACTCCACCTGCTGCGGAATCAAATGACTCCCAAGAGCGAGTTATATGCCCCCATGTTTGTCCTGTGCTGCCGCCACAAACAATGTACAAGTCTATGCAACATTTCTACAGATAAATCTTCTCTTCTCTGCCCCAAAATTGGCACAGTTGGCAAAATGCTAAGCCCCATTTGTGCGTGGATCAAAAGAATATTTACAGCTCGAATATATATGAAAGAATAGAAAGATAGCCTTCCAACGGTCATGAAAGCCGCCAGCAAACTCCCGTGTGCCCAGTTACCACGTAAAGCTTTCCTCGATGAAGTCAACAACGGTTTCGCCCTGGGCAGCCCGTACAGCACCTCGTACGTCATCGGCAAGGGCGCCGGGGCCGCAGACGGTCACCACCATGGCACCAACTTGCTCTTGGACCTCCTTGGACACCAGAAGTGGGATGTTTGGTCGACCGGGGAACAACTTGACTGTAGTGCTGCTAGCCATGACATCGCGGGCGTTTTGTGGACGAGTCACAAACACCTGAATGCGAAGGATGTCCTGACGGTTTGGTATGCGCAGGATGCTGTCCATGTACGGACGCACCCATTCCAAAGATTCATACTCTCGGATGATCCACACCAAGGTTAGTCGACGAGTAGCCACGGTGCCGGCATTATAGCCCTCCAGGTGGTACTTGAGGTACGACAACTGATGTGTGATGCCGGTCGAGCCAGCGAAGAGCAAGAGATGTCCATATGAGTCGAGGTTATGATGTCCAGCATATGGTCCTTCCATGGCTGCTCGGATGGTGACGCCCCCAGGGGACATTTGGGCCTTGGCAAAGAGCTGTCGGGTAAGCCCAGTCTGCGCTCCGATGACGAACGTCACAGAAGTCCTCGCTTGTTTCTTATCCAGGACGCCGTGAATAGGCTCCTCCTTCTCGTACGTGGGTAACAAGTGATCCGGACAATGCTCGACCCAGGCGATGGAAAACGGATGGCTCTCCCAAGACTTAATGCCTGAAAAGCGCAGGTAGGCGTGGGTGCCTGGCGAGATGCTCTTGTATCGTGGAAGCTTTAGTGTAACTCGAGTTACCTCACCGGGCATGGCTTCACAAAAGGCGTCGGTGAAGCCCTTCTTTGACCAATTGGTGTACGCCAGTCGAAAAAATCGAGCAAACCGATCAGCAAACCACAAGGACATGATGCCCATGATCCATGACAACTGCGGCAGGCCACCCGGTACGCTGGCCGTTGCACAATGAATCCAGGTGCAAACGAAGACGACCAGGGCAAGGAAGATGTGGAGATTGAGAAATGTTTCATAAAAGGCGTGGCGAAGGGGCGAGACAGAGGCGATTAGCAAAGTAATCATGGCAATCGTACCGACGAGACCCGATGCAATAAATGGCGTGGCGATGAGGGATTCGAAAACACCTCTCCAACCTCTGTCAGCTACGGCTGGAATCGTCCATGCGATGGTGTGGATGACCGACTCTGCGACGACAATGCGGCCCATCCAACGGTGCAAGAGGTTGTACGTGTCAAAGCTGATTTTGAGCATGGATATCAAGGGGTTGTTGCGACCTGCGAAAATAATCAGTGGCACCATGTTGACAAGCGCCAAGGTGCCGGAGCGGCCTCGCAGCTCTGCACACAAGGAGTACTTGTTCGGATTTGACCAGTCGAGGATAAACATGTAGGCAATATTGCTTCCAAGATAGCCAAGAATGACCAGCATGTGAAGTCGGGAGGGCAGTGTGCCCACGTTGACAGCGGATGAGAGCTTAAACTCCCGATTGTGTCGTTTGTTCCAGAGAGGGGCATAGGTGAGGTGCTTCTTGACGCCGGGCATCCAACTAAACTGCGAGGTTTTCCAGTAGAGCTGTTTCTCCCGCGGAACCGTCATGGCGGACACTTGTCGGAGTTTTGCCCACAGAATTTCCATGATGCGAACAACCAGCACTGCAATGCCAGCAATGCCCAAGGTCCACCAGAGAACATCACGAAAGAACAGGTTCATTGGCTGATTGACGCCATTTAGCTCGGTATAAAAAGGGGCAATTGTTGAACTGGGCTGTACCTGTTCAGATGCAGGCGATCCCCTAGACTCCAAAGTCTTGGTTACGTCCATCTTTTCTAGATTTCTAAACGTGGCGAGCCAGCGCCAGCGAAAACGAAGGGGCAGGGGAGAATCGAAGGGGTCGAGGGAGAAGGGAAAGGAAAATGGGGAATCTTTAAAGACTGTGTATATAGGAATGGGAAGATTCAAAGAAAAGAAAGCTCTCGCGTGTTGCCGTGCCTGTCCTGTTCAGAGACAAGACAGTCACCCGCTCCAACAATGCTCAAGACCTCGAGGGCTATAAGCGATCTCTGTTGCCAGAACAGCTACTAGAGAAAGCAAGCGCACCGAAGAAGGGCCAATGAACGCTCTTATGTGCTCACGTCGATTCGCATGATGGAATGGACGGGCGAAAAAAGAGTGGCGTGCAAGGCAATCCACGGCGAGAGCGGGTGGTTCAATGGCGCCTCCAGGTTTCGCCAAACACGGGCACCAGATTTGCTATGACCACGGTAGAAACACGACACAATGTGGAAGGAGCGAACGAGACGGTGGCATGAATCGGCCAGCCGCCTCCGTGAGAGAGAAAATGAGCCGTGTATCCGAAAACCAACGAGCCCTCGTCGACGGGGGTCCCGAGCGTTTGTGAATAACAGGAAAGTGAAGGAAAAGTGAGGATGCGGTCAAGGCAAAGTGAAGTACATGAGTGTTGACAGCAAAACAAGGGAATGCTGGTGTATCGGCGGAATGCTCCACGCGGCGTCACACTCAACCAAACTCTGTTCCTGGTTCCTCTTTGGTAGATCCCTTGGCTCGCGCAAGAAGAGGCGAAACGATGGCGTTGGATGGCGTCGGACGGCGTCTGTTGATCCGCCAAACAATCCAAACCAGGCAATGAGACGCAAGCCAGAAAAAGTCGATGCGGTTTTTTTGTTTTTTTACTTTTTGCTCGAGTTCGATGATGCCGGGGGTTTCAAGCAGCGCCAGGCTGCGGAAAGAAGGGGTTTGGTAGAAGAAAGCAGCGAGGCAACGGGTTGCGAAAGTACGGCCGATGACGATTTCGCAATATTCTCCTTGTGCGACCTGAGAAGGGATTTACGAATGTCTTATGTGGTGACGCCAAACGAGTGAATCAGGAATGAAGCAAACGAAGCTGCGTCCAGCCGCGCCGAGAAATGCCCAAGGTCGACAAGAGGTCTTGAGACGAGCCGGGGGCCGATGATGTTGGTGGTCGACAGGGCCAGCGCTTAGCAAGGCCAAACTGCTCAGGAATGTAAAACGTGAGATGCTCGGATGCAACGCCAGAAAGGCTGGCGCGAGGGAAAGGGAAGAAGAAAACCCGCAGAAGAGACCGAAGAAAAAAGTGGACGAGACATGCCAGATATGAAGGCAAAAAGCAAAGCGCAATAACACAAAGTCGACATTTCGTGGACACTGGATGAAGAGCCGAACATTCGACATGCTGGGTCGACCCCTGGGCACACCCTGGCAGCAAACAATGGAGACGACAGGATGCACAGGTCGATCCAAGAAAGACCAGATGAAGAGTTCTTGTGCACGGGCAATGGACGGGCCCCAGCCCAACGATTGGCTGGCGCCGTCCTTTTTTCTTTGCGCGCCGCGGCCTGTTCGGCAGGGGTTCCAGAACAAGTGTTGCCATGCTCCCATGCTCGAACGAGATGAATGGGCACGACTGCGTATTGGCATGTTCACGGTGTTCAATGTTGCCCATTTGGTGTTCTGCACCCCTCTTAGTCTTTTCTTCCTCAACGGCCCCTGAACACCGTCTCCAGCATGATTGTCTACTGCTATCTCTTTTTGTCTTTTTTTTTTTCCTCCCCCCCCCCCCCCCTTTTTTTTTTCTTTCTGCCATTGCCGCTTTGTTAGCCATTGCGGCATTTCGCTGAAGCGCCACGGGAGGAGAGTCATGGTGGCGGTTAACTCGACCAGATCCCACGCAGCCACGATTTCAACGGGTGCACCTGCGTCTTGCAGGGCGACTCGTGAATGGCTGGCCTGCTCTGGCTGACCACTGATTGGCCGCCAGTTGCTGACTGACGACGGGCCCTGACTGGCTCTGGTGCCACCAAGTAAGGGCCCCAACTTTTTGAAACTGTCCCCTGCCGCCGCTCCCCGTCGTCGTCCTGTCAGGGACTGCCTGGGCATCCGACGGCTGGCGGGTTCCATTGCGCACGCTAGGCGGCGGGTGGCTGCTGGGCTCGCTTGGGTCACATGCAGGGGAACACTGAGCGTACCAAAAGTTTGGCGCCCCTCCAGCCTCCATTCGCCAACCTCACGCAGGCACGCAGACAAGCAAAACCCTCGGTACCGTCACAATACCACGCATTTCTGCAGCCGTCCGTCGTCTTCAAACAGCCTGAAGCTATGCAAATGATGTCCCCATGTCCAACGGCCTTGTTCGCAGGCCCAGTACATCACATTGCCGTGCCGTGGGTTCCGAAGATGCGTCACCCGCCAGTCGCCAGCTCCAGACTCTATCCATCTCCTTCATGGCTGAGGCAGGTTTCATCCCCAACATGATCGTGGACTCCCATCGCCGAAACGACTCACCATCGTCCCATTCATACTCCGTCATTGGAACCGAGCATGTACGTGCATGGAGTAGTGTGCGCATCATATGATCTGTTTATTGTCTTCATTCAAGTCCCACGTTTTGCTTACGGCCCTTGGTCCTGTCAATCTGTCACGTTCTTGGCACGACCATTGTCATCCAGGTTCAGAGCCCGCTTTTGCGGTACCAATAATTATGCTTGTTAACTAGGGCCCAAATCTCATTTCCAATTTGGCGTACAGTGCGCCGCGTCCTCCACAGCTCCTCAGATGCTCAGGTCCTCTAAAGTGCTGTCGTTACTTCTGTCGTTACTTCTTGCTCCATTCACAGTTTCGCAATGCAGTGGTAGTTGGGGACCGAAGCTGGTATCCGTGACTTCAAGTGTCAGTGACTGAGAGGCTGTAGCTATCCTTTGGTGTGCCTCTGGATCCCAGTTGCCAAGGTCCTCCATAGTCAATACTAATAAAGTAAGAGGTTTCAAACAGTTTTCCCTGCTCGTCAAAAAAGTATACGCCATCACAGTCTGTTGGAAATCTCACGACTATTGCATCTCCCTTTGAAAAACTAGAAAGTTAAATTAATGGTGCTTGGCTTGGCAAATGTTGGCGTCGGATGTTTCTGCCTGTATTTTTCCCATAATAGAAAAAAAGCGCAACAGACTGACAGACGGTGGAAATGGACTTTCTTTCACCAGACATGCTCCAGAGCAGCATAAATGTAATGATTGACCACCTAAATGAATAGACCTAGTCTGCAATGCAGCTGGGGCAGGATGCATGTCACCACGAGCACAGACCATAGTACTTTGGCTGTGATCCTAAAAACCGCGGCTGAAAGTTAGCTGGCTGAAGGGAGTCTTGGGCCGCCAAGTTGGAGTGGGGATTTTCCACCGTTTTAACTTTTCCCGGCTGATCTTTGCCAAATTCAGCAATGTTTTTTCACCGCCTTCTATGGTCTGGTATTCTTTTCATCAGCAAGGTCGGGCAAATCGTCAGCAGCTACGGAGTAGAAGCTATCAAGCCAATTGACATAACTACATATTTTATCAGGTATATCTCTTTATCTTACGGCATCAGCGACCATACTAACTCTTTATTATTCTCAATAGTTCATCATGTCTTGGAATAGATCAATAACGCTGTATTTTCTTGAGTTGTTGCTCAAGGCCCGGCGGAATAACCCCCTTTTAAGTGTTAAAAAGACGGCATTTCGAGAGCTATGCAAGTCATTGGTCAAGGAAATGGAAGCAAAGTTTCCTGATGAAAATTGGACTGTAAAGAAACTCGAGAACAAGCATAATTATTTACGATGTTTCTGGAGGGCATTTCGCGATGCAGCGGAGCGGCCTGGCACAACGTACAATCCGGAAACAAAGACGCTGCGTATGAGCGACCAAAACATCCATCTGATTCGGTCAAAATACCCAAGAAACGGCAAAGCAGTCACATCGCAACCCTTACTAACAAATGAGGCGATTTACTATAACGAATGGCTTGAGATTTTCTCCCTCGAGGCTCCGGCCGGCCAAGACTTGACCAAAGCCGATACTATAAAAGTTGGCGATGCAAATGTCGTGGAAGCTAGTCGCCACTCCTGCGTTACCGATTGGTTGAAAAGATGCGCTCATAGTATGGACAATGCCTCATCGCCGCTGAGCTCCGTTGAAGATGGCGATCATAGTGGTGATATTGTCGTCCAACAGCCTCGAAAGCGGCGCCGCACTTTGCGAGCGACGTCACAAAGTTCAACGCCTAGTCCGACACTGCCTGCTGTGCTCCTAGACGGTCTTCAGAAGGGGGAACCCCAGCAACTAGCTGCATTCATCGCCCTCTCTAAAGTCATTGACGGGATAGCTAGACAGGGGGGGAAGCATAATATCATAATCCAACCAGTAGGCGCCGAGGACCTTGAGAAGGCCTGTATAGATGCGCAGAGGCTTCGCGAGGAACATGGGGTGACCCCGGTTCTTCGGGTTCTTTCATGGCTTCTGAAAGACCCGAGAAATGCGATCATATGGAATGCTCTCGTGTCAAATGAGCTTAAAATGGCGTGGATAGCTTCAGATTTTGGCCAAAATGTATAGATGGCTCGTCTTTGTAGTGGCGTGTTGAGGAAATCGCGGCCTCCAATCGAAGAACGCGCTGCCGTGCCAAACCCAGCATCACCAAGATAACGCGATTGGGGCACCACGAAGAAGTTTAAGAAAGCTTTTCACAATGTTGATACTAATACTCACTATTAGACTGGCATCTTCTCCGCCTCTGCCTACGCTTGACCGATGGTTGTGGGGAACCCGTCTCATACTACATCTAGGTATAACAGCGGAAGCACGGCACAGTGTCAAGAAACCAAGTCCATACTATTGCTGGCTCATTCGGGCATTTTTGAACGTTGGAACCTGGATGCTGGGGCGGGCGGGTGGTGCCTGGACCTTGCAGTACCAAACAACTCGACAACAACCTTGGATTTCAGATTTCAATAGTCGACCCCGTCTAATACAATCAGGACTGGCCTGATACCTGTCGATTCCCCTTTGATGCAGAGAGATGGCTCAATTCGGCTCAAGACAGATTGTTACCTCCACCAAGCCCCTGCATGGTAAAGTTGAACCGTGGACACGATTTCTCGCTTCGTATACGAGGTTTTTTTTCTTTTCACCATCGCTTCAATGAGCCATAACTTGGGTTGCTTCTTATTGTATCGGGTCATGGCGATAATCATGCATGCAAGCGCCAAGGCAGGCATCCCATTATTTTGCTGGGAACTTACGTAAGATAAAGACTTCTTTCATTGGCATTCAGAGAACGCGCCTTGGCTTCATTGTTGCAGCAGCGGGTTTGTCACCCGTCGATGAGCTCATGCGGCCGTTTAACAATGGGCCAACAGTTGCAAGAATGCGTTCCAGTTGGAACAATGTGTCCTTTGTGAAGAGTCGGCATTTACCGCTTATGACATCAAGCATCCGCTTGTTTGTGTACTTGAGATCTCATCGAGTAAAAATGACTAGATGTGAATAATTTGACGCCGCCGAGCAACTATGACATTCTTTTTTGACATCTAGAAGATTGACTGCTTGCTTGCCAGTGTGCGAGTCGCGACAAATGGCGGCACAGCCACATCAAGGACAGAGTGCCCAGCCACCGCGGGGCTTGCAAGTGATGCAACTCGGGTGCAGCCCGAGGGCCAACCACGCCTCAGGCACCAAAACTTGGGCCCCGGGAAGTGACGCAGCCGAACTGGTGCCGGAAATTTCCAGGCCGCAGACCGGATCACGAGCCGCCAGAGAAACATAATTGTCGCACTGCCATTGAGCTCGACAAGATGGGTGCCAACGCGTCAAAGCAAGAGGCCAATGGCCAGTACGAGTGGAAGGCGTAAGTCCAACTCGACCGGTCCCCCTCCCCCCCGGCAACAATGGCAACAATGGCACCACTAACCATCGTCTCGAGCAGCTCAGGGCCACCCAGCGTCTCTGTCGAAGTCCTCGATTCGCTAAAGTCCAGCCCAGAGGTACGGAGTACCAACTTCCTGATCTGCTTCTGGATCGTCCACAAGCCGCTGCGTGTGTCAATGCGGGTCGTCTGCTAACCAACACAACATGACAGACCGACGCCTCCCGCGCCAAATTGATCGAGCAGCATGTCCAGGCGCGCGTGGCTGAAGAGCTCAAGAAGCTCCAGAAGAAGGAATCCGAGGCTCTCAGTGTTGCCCACGAAAAGATTGCGTCGTCGGAAAACAGCAACGAGAACAAGCTCAGCAGCTTCTCGCTCGGGAAGGAGGTTGACGAAATGCGGCGCAAGCTGGAGGAGAGGAAAAAGGTCCGCGAGCTACCAGAGAGCGTTGAGAACGCCCGCGGCGCAGTGATTCGATGCTTGAGGGAGCACGACCGCCGGCCGCTGGATTGCTGGCAGGAGGTGGAGGACTTCAAGGCCGAGGTGAAGAAGTTGGAGAAGACTTGGGTCGACAAGATCACGTCATAAAACAACGGGTGCTGGGCCGGTTTTTCGCCTGTCTGGGGGAACCGTATGAGCATGCTCTGCTAGATCAGGGGGGGGGGGTTTATTTTACTGGTATTTAAATGCTGCTTGGGGCACTGACAGCCGCCGGATGGGGTTACGAGATGGGGAAGCAAGCAAAAGCTACGAGGCTAGCCGTGTACATTACTGCATTGGAGAAGCGGTATAGAGAATAAACAATGTACAAACCAGTTTGACCGTCACTCATCAGCCGATGTCGTGTTGACGCAATGCGGCAACACTGTATGATGGACTTGTATCAACCATGGCGGTCACAGTCTCTGACAAGGCGTCTTTTTGCCTTCAAATTGCGGTCCGGGATTCGCCAGCATAGTACTACCAAGATTTGGCAGTACCATGGGCGGCAAAGTTGCACGTACCTTGTGTGTCAAACAATTTGTGACGCTCAACTTTACACATACGTCCGCATCTATACCCCGTTCCCGGTTGCCAGCCACACCATCACCGACCACAGGCCAAATATATATACCTTTACTCAACGCATTACACCCGAGTTACGAGAGCCCACCTACTCTGCCAACAGAACTCATTTATCCCAGAACGCCTACGCTAAACCAAAGTCTAAGGCAACGTACAAGTCGTCGGCACTCTCCCCCCGGCCATTCTCCTCATCGACAACACCCTCCGCCGCCGTAGCCTTCCTCCGCAGCCCTTCAGCCCGCATCCTCTCCCTCCTCGCCGCAGGATCCTCCCACTGACGCCCGTCAGAGCCCATCCTGGCCAGATTCTCCCTGAACGCGCCGCGGAACCTCTCAATTCGCCTCGTGTTCTCGGAAAACCGCTCGTTCCCAATATCCATCAACGCCCGCAGATACGAGCCGGACACGAGCGCGTACCGCTTCCCCTCGAGCTCATGCCCGACCAGAGACTCAAACCCGAGCCCCATGGACCGAACAGCCACCATGGGCGCCGCGGCGGCTTCGGAATCCGCCGTCAAATTCACCGCGCCTGATTCCCTAAAGCCCGCCTGCAGCGCAGATCGCAGGAGCAGCTGCGCGTGGGCAAGCGAGGCCGTAAGAACATGGAGGATCTGTTGTTGTTTTTCACACAAGTCACGTAAGCTCTCGTTATCCGCGGGCAACCAGGAACAAACAGCAGCGGCCGTCTTTCGCTCACCATGGGCTCAAACTTGAAGTGAATCAACCTCCCCGTGCGCTGGGCCTCCCCGTCCTCCAACGCCAGGGTCTGCAGCCAGTCTTGGCCCGGGACCGGATCGTGCGAGACATACAGCCACGTTCCGCCGGCGCCCTTGCCCCCGACGCCGGCTACCTGTGCTGGGGGCTGCTCATCTGCGTCTGCGCCTGCGTCTGCGTCTGAGGATTCTGCCGCCTTTCTGCCTTCCAGGAAGACGCTGACTCTGCCTGCGCAGCTGCTGGTCGTTACGAAGCCGTCTGTGCTGTTGATCTCGTCGATGAGGCGGCGGATGCCCTTGTCGACGGTTCCCTTGGGCGAGAGGTCCGTGTATTCGGCTTCCGGCACGGCGAGTCGGTCCAGGATCTTGGTCTTTTTCTCGGCAAAGGCTTGCGACGGGCCGGGGAGGTGCGGCCGCCGTTGCATTTGTGAAGAAGGTGTTGCCTTTGCCCTTGTCTTATGTTTTGTTCTGTCTGGTACAAGATGGCACTCGGGCGGTTTTGTTCACCGGGCGCAGGACCAACTGGGGCTACAAGCAGTATAGTACTCGCAATACTAGCAACCACATATACAACGCGTCTTGAATTGTGAAGATGAAAAAAAAACTATGTTCAGATATCGCGGGAGTGCAAGTATAAACATGGGCTCACGCTGCCAAGTCCGTTTGTGGTCTGGTTCTTTTTTGCCTGGCCGTCGCCCACTTCCCGCGCACCAATCAGATGGCCGCGCGGGGTAACAGCCCGAGTTGCATCACGCGGTTTGTTCAAATTCCCAACGTCGATGGACGTCCACGGTGGCATGTACGGCTCATGAGACGATTATTTTTACAATTTTCTGATTGATTTTTTTCGTCACTCTATGTTGCGCTAACTATTATGGCACGCATAGGTTTCTTTCCCTCGAAAATTCCACTCCACGCACGCTGCCTTGCTCCAAACGCCGGGCCAGATACACTCTTGGACAATGCATCTTGACTCAAAAACAAAAAAGACAAATCATCAGGAGCAGAATGTGCGTGCCTGATGAACCAGGACCCCCAACTCCTTTTTAGTCGATGCGCAGGAAAAATTCATGGATTCATTAAAAGAAAGAGTGTTTTAGCTGGCAAAGGTGGCTGCCAGAAACGCACACACACAAAATGGTGTGTGTAGATGCCACAGGGTCAGGGTCAGGGCGGTCCTTTTCTCTTCTTATGAGACGGGAGCAACTTGCTTTGCTTCCATTTCGGCAACAAACTGGGCATATCTGGATTTCTTGTTGTGGATGCCACACTCAGTCTTGGACTTGCCCTTCCAGCGGCCGGCACGCTCATCCTCACCCTCTTTGACGGGGGAGGTGGAGTGCCAGTCGCCGACGGACTTGTATCCCTGGTCAAGAAGCGCGTTGTAGGGCACGCTGTGCTCCTTGATGTACTCGTTGACTTGGGTGAACGACCAGGTGGCCATGGGGTTGATCTTGATGACGTTGCGCTCCTCGTCGAGCTCGATGATGGGGATGGAGCCCCGGGCGGCGCCTTGGGAGCGGCGGCGGCCGTTGAGGACGGCCGTCACCTTGAGCTCCTCGTATGCCCGCTGGAGAGGCTCGACCTTGACGATCCAGTCGTACATCTCATCAGCCGTGTTCCACAGCTCCTGGCCGTACGTCTCCTCAAACTGCTCCACCGTGTCCATGCCGTCGGGCTTGAAGACGTTTACGGGGACGTTTGGGTAGCGCGCCTTGACGCGGTCCAGCAGGTCGTGCGTCTCCTTGAAGTGGTACAGGGTGTCGAGAAAGATGAGCTGGACGGGCTTGGACTCTGGGTTCTCGTCCTGGATCTTGGAGAGCATGTCCATGGTGGCGAGCCCGGTGAGCCCAAACGCCGTTGACTGGAACAGGTTGGGAAACAGGATCTTGCAGAATCGCAGAATGTCCATCG